AAGCAAGTTCTTTAGGAGACTTTGCCTTAACTTTTATTACAATCATTTCTTAAACACACTCTAAAAAAGTTGAAAAGGATGATCACCCAAGTGCCCTTCTAAACCCCTAATTGTGTCCTCCGGTAGGGTGTGTGTGTGTGTGTGTGTGTGTGTGTGTGTGTGTGTGTGTGTGTGTGTGTTCATAATTTATAATGTCTGACACTGCAATACTTCACCCCAGGCACCTCCAAATAACAAGACTCTTCTCCTCTGCACTATCACCATACTTGGGGAAATCAGTAATAATTCAACGATACAACCTATCTGGTTACTTTTCTCATGGCTGAGACAAAATACCCAACACTCACAAGGAGATAGGTTCATGTAGTTCAGTTTGTAGAGATTTCAGTTCCTAATCAGCTGCCTGCAAGGCCGGGTGGCATAGCTCAGGGGCACAGCCATGGGGGCAGAAGACAGAAGGCAGAAGGCACTAAACTACAAATGACTATAACAGCTTCTTCCTGCCCTTTTATATTCCATCTAGGTTACTTGGACTGATTTGGTACTCACACCCCCTTGATCCCAGCACCACACACTCTAGATCCAGCCACTTCTGAAAAGCCCTTACTTGACCAGGCTGTATGTGCTACCTATGACTGCACGAGACCTTGGGGGGACATCGAGACACAAGCCGTAACACTCCCTTACAGCCCACATTCGAATTTCACCCAGTCGCCCTCCAAATATCCTGTGTAACCTGTTGCTTTCTTCCATTTGACTCTGGATGGTTCTTTGGCAAACAGAAGTTTGAGGCTCACTTGATAGGTCTGATAAGTCTGATGCTTGCTTCTTGCCGCTTAAGTACAAGGGTGCTGACAATGATATGGCAGTCCTTGCTGCGGGATTTGCACTCGGCAGCAGGGCTACTTGGGAACAGAAAAAGCACCATTCTCTCAAAAGCCCATGGTAGGGGCCAGGGAAATAGCTCAGTAGAATAAGTGCTTGCCTGGCAAGCACAAGGGCCTGAGTTCAATCCCCAGTTCCCCACCCCTCCCCTACCCCGCAAAAAAAAAAAAAAAAAAAAAAGCCCATGGTAGAGCAGTTCCAGCTGTGATCAGCCATGGAGCTCATTGAGAGGAGCCCCTCCTCTAAGTGTACACCTTGACACCTTGGCATAGAAAGCCTCCTGCTTAGCCTCCCATAAAGAAGCTGCTCCCAGGGGCAGAGCGAGGATAATAAGGCGGCATCCCTCTGGGCTATCCCTGTGAGATCTGCATGGGGCAGATCTGTCCACCTCATCCACCCTCTCAGAGCACTCAGGTTCTGCTGCTGACAAGCAAGCACAGACACGATCAACACGCTGGAGCCAGCACAGCTAGACCAACTCTCCTGAGGCCAGGAAGCTTTCCAGATCAGACTTCCCAGTGCTGGGGCAGCGCTGGAGCTCTCCATATTCTTGTCCCAGAACCCCAGGAATGCAAGCATGCTCACCAGCCACTTTCCAATCCTTAAATTTTGTGGATCTGACAAAATCAGTCAAGCCCTGACAAGGACAGAGACATGCCCCACGCCCAGAAGGCTGTCCCCGGGAACTCCTAAATTGATGTTCATCCCAAATAGAATGTGCAACTCACCAGCATTCTTTGTCCCGCTTAAGGTGTGTCTTATAGATATTTGTGAAAATTACTAAGGAACTCCCTGGCACTCCAACATTGAAGGTAGATTTTTTTCAGGCAGATCCAAAATGGGGACACCGCCCTCTGCCGGCAACTCTGCCCAGCTGCAGCACCATCCTTCAGGCCTCAAGTGTCTTGTGTGTCTCCTAACCTCTACCTGCCAGAGCCACACTGCATACTGAGGGGCTCCTGATCTCCCCAGTAGGCCACTGTCTGTGCCAATACCGGGGACTGAACCCTTGCCAGGCAGACAATTATACCGCTGAGCTATATGCCAAGCCCTGTGCCAACTCTTTAATTTTTAAAAATTTTATTCACTAGATACAGGTCTCACTACGCAGCTCAGACTGTAGTGATCCTCCTGTCTCAGCCTCCCCAGCACTGGGACCACAGGTGTGTGCCATCACTCCTGGTTGCAGGGCCCCAGTTTGGCATGTGGTACCAGGGACCAAATGTGGGTCCTTGTGCTTGCCCGGCAGGCACTTAAGACTGCTCGGAGGTCGTCCCAGCCCCAACACCAACTCTTAAACACCCAATTATAAACTCTTTTTGAACTGAGAGGCCTTAACATTGTGGTAAGGGGCCAGGGAGATGGCTCAGTAGAATAAGCGCTTCCCTGGCGAGCACAAGGGCCTGAGCTCAATCCCTGGTTCCACAAAAAAAAAAAAAAAAAATTTAACATTGTGGTAAACTACAAAGCTTTTGCCCATTACAAACTTCCAAATGAGAAAAGAAAAACAGGGAAACAAAGTTTTGTAAATGAGGGGAGGGATAAAAGGGAAGAATAAGGAAAAAAAACAAACTGTATCATGTACAGGTCCAAATTCTCTATAATGAACGTGATCGTTATGTATATCCAAAATATACCAACAAAACCTAATGAAAGCTTCTTAGTTTAAATTTTTTTGTAGTGTGATTTATGTATAAAAAGAGATCTGCCAACCAACTTGCCCAAAACAATGAGAAAGGTCCATCATGGGTAAATTACAGTTCAATGTGGTTTATTTGCACAATTTTACTTAACCAATTCTCATTTGTTTATTATATAAAAATTCACCCTTTTTACAAGCATCTTAAATGTTGAACAAAGAAGAAATAAATATTGCACATTTTGACCAGAATAAAGTTGTGGTTCTTAAAAGTCAACATTAGACAAGAGGAACAGTTGAACACACTGAAGTACTTATGTCCAACAGAGTGGTTTTTAAATCCAAGAAAAACTTCTCTCAGTGAAAGATATTACACTGGTACATTTAAAAAGTTGTAACATTTCTTAGCAAATTCCTTATCTCAAAATAAGATCATTTAATCTGGTCCCGCCCTAGAACTATTCTGCTACTCTTGGGCACAGTAACATGGGATTTAGACACTTTTCCCCCAGGGAAGGCCTGTTGAATATCAGGTGGAACAGGAGTAATGAGTCTGGAGCATTTAGCCAGGGAAGGTGAAAGGTTGGGAGTGAGGTCAGTATGTGACCAGCAGAGAAATGTCTGTTGAGAGGGAAGCCAACAGCCCCTACCTGGGATGCTTCCAGAAGAGCCCCAAGAGGCAACATCACACAGAGACGCCTTGGCTTGCTGTAAAGCAGGACTATGAGCACAGGTCATTGGCAAGTGGAGGGGAGACAGGATTCCCACTGAAAGGTGAGCCCAGGAGGGTTTACATATCTGTGATCCTATGACATCTACTTCCTGTCCCAAAACAAAGTTTTAGGAATAAAAACTCAACAAAAATATCTATTACCAGCATTAAGTAGAAGGGCATGGACACAGGCACACTGGCTTTGGTGATTACTCATGAGGAACATGGGAAGTTAGGCTAGGGTGAGGCTGACGGTGGTATTTTCTGCGCTGGACTTTCTCCACATCAAAGACAGATCCAGACAGACCCTGGGGAGGTGGAGCATTTGGTAGCTGAGCCAACATACTGATCATGAAACTGAGAAAGTGGGGAGTTGAGACCCAATGTGCATGACTACGGGTCCCCACTCCACCTGCTGCTCTCACACTGTAGAAACACGTTAAGGACATCTCTGCTGTTAACACCCTGTTGTCAAGCTTCCTGCCCTTCACTGTTCTAGTCAGGAGTGGATAAAGGAAATGAGGGTATCCAGGCCACTTCTCTACCCATGTTTCTACTGCAGGCTAAGGTATGATGAACGGAGAACAGGTGCTTTTCACTGGGACCAGAATGCTGCCCCATCTTTCTCCTAGAAAGCATTAAGACACTGCTGGTTACAGTGCAGGAGTCAAGCATGCTCCACTGCTCAGCCTGCAAGCAGGCCTTGGTCTTGCTTGATCCCAATATCCACACATAGCACCAGGCACTGCCTCTGAAACTGCAGCCCTGTGCACTCCAGAGGCTGATGGTCTTTTCAAACAAAACCTCATTCCCAGGTGAGCAGTGGGCAGGCTGGCCTGCTTACAGCCCTTCCTTTATGGAAGCTGCCACACTCTTGACTAGCCCAGTGTCTAGAAACCAGATGACATCAGGCTTTAAAATCAGCATCAACCTTAACAGGACTACTTCTCAAATTCGTGATATGCCTGTAATTCAGATTCGAATCCAACACAACCAAAGACTGATTTTATTTTTAATAATTTTTATACATCAAGTATATTATAAATATTATAAACTCCAAAAAATTAACAGATTAATCATAATTATCTTTAAAATGTGCATACTTAAGATTTCACATTCTAGGATATCAATAATTTCATCTTGCTTAAGAAAACAGCATGTGTTTCCTGTCATAAAATCACTGCTGCCAAATCAGCCAATTAAACTGTCTACAACTTCTAGAATTTTCTTATACATAGGAGAAGCTGATTCAAAAGTGAGAACAACAAAAAGAGATGAGACGTGTCCCTGCAAGCTGACACCATGTGATCCTACAAAACTCTGAACAGAGGTACTTTGTCAGAGCTCCAAGTCTGGCTGCGAGGCAGAATTGTTCCAACAAACCTCCAAGTGGGAGAGGGAAGACTGAATGGGCATGTGGGAAGAAAGCGGTGTTCTGTCAGCTATATTTCTATTTCTCTAAGAGATGTTGGTGACCTTTTAGACATTTTTAGGTAAAAATTCTCAGGCTAAAGATAATCCACGAACAAAGACACATTATGGAACAAACAAAATCCATTTTGAGTTGACAGAATTACAGATATGTTGACAGAAAGCAAATTGCTAATTCCTGGGGGAAATAATATGAGCAAGAAGATTACAACAGTACAAGGCAAAGATGAGGACAGGCTTTGGTAATGAATGGCTAACAAGGACAGAAGGCACACAGCTATTCAAAATAGCCAAATGGCCAGGGATACAGCTCAGTGGCACAGTGCCTGCCTGGCAAGCACGAGGTCCTGAGTTTGATTCCTGATGCAAAGAAAAAAAAAAAAAAGCCAGATTTTAGAAATTCTTCCAACCTGGCCCAGTTTCCAAAATAAATGTTTCAGCAGGTCCTCAAGCTTCATTTGAGTTTAAATGTGGAGAAAAGAAACAAGCAGAAAATAGAGAACCAAGTTTTCCATCTCCCTTTCAACTGTGGGGCATTCAAAGTGCAAACTTGGTGTCTATCATGGGTTGCGAACTTCAGCATCAACAGGGCCAAAAGTAATGTGAATGTGGAGACCAAAGAGAAGGAAGGGACCCGAAGGTCCCCAGGAGCGAGCCCTGTCTGCACTTATGTGGACTACATAAAACGTGCACACGTGGTCACCACAGAGCGCCAGCCTTGCTACTCTGATGCTGACAGAAGCTCCTACATATACTATTAATGGAAACAAACACATCACCCCCTCTGATGCCCGCTATAATGAGGATTAGCTGGCTACACTTTGCACATACTTCACTTTCAGCACCTTTACATCCCTTCTGAGAGAAATAACATAATACTTTGAAGAGGGTGTATTTCCTCACATTTGAGAAATGCAGAAATCATTAAAGTCGATTTTTTAACATTGGAAGAATACAAATGGGGTTCAAAACAAAGGGCTCTACCTGACTCATGAGACAGTCAAATCAGGAGATGGGAGTCCTAACATTCAAATAATATGGGAGAGAGGAAACATATGAAGACTCTACCTGCAGCCCTGCTAAGGTGACCGGGGCATTCACCAACTGTTAGTGGTTTAGTACCCAAGTGGAACTTAGTAAATTTCACTTGTGATGAGCATAACTAAAAATCCCCCAGAAAATTTTAAGAGACAAGAACATATATGCATGCATACAAGTGCACACACACACACACACACACACACGCACACGCACACACACACGCAAGCACACACACACTCCTCCTTGGCTAAACTAGGCTCTGCAGTGAAACTGAGTGATTACTTCTGCAAAGCAAAGTTAAATGTAAACATAAACAACAATGAGGTTTCTCAAGAGCCTTAATGTTACTATCGTATGTTATCTAAGTAATGCACTTCAGGGTAGAGACTGTTAACAAGAAGAGCCAGGAAGTTTTTCCCATCCTGGAGAGAATGGCCGGGATGCTTGATAAACTGGGCAGCTTGCAATATCTGATCCTGGTATTCAATATACTGCTTACTCAGTGTCATGGACTCAAGAGCAGCCAAAGCCTAGAAGACAAAGAAGGCAAGAGGTTACAGAGGCACAGCACCAACTGCCCTAGGTAGAACACACCTACCATCATCATCTGGTTCCACCAGGAGCCTCAAGGGAGGGAAGCACATTGAACCACAGTCAGGAGTTCAGAAGGCAGCCACTGATGAACCCACACAGGAGGCCTGCAGCCTTTAGTGCTGTTACTTCCCTACCATTTCCTGCCAAGAGCCAATACAGCAGCTGCTCTGGTGTGACTGCCCACCAGCTATACCAACTGCCGAACTTGCCTTGTAGTGCCCACCAGATCATTGGCTCCCTCCCTTCTCAGAGCTAAAAAGGAAAACACAGGCATCAGATGCATCTCACCGAGGTGAGGCCTATGTAACTGGCTTTTGAGTTCATTCTTAGGTTATAAAATAAAAGCATATTAAGCTAACTGAATGAAATTCCAAAGAAAATGGCTGGTAAGTGCTGCTGTAGGTAAACAATAAGGTCACTAAATCAGTCAACAAACAAAGTACAGGTCAGTTCCTTCCAATTCCATATGACAAACAGCACAGAACTAATGAGAGAACATGTTCTCACATCTCTCTTCAAAGAAATAAAAACGTTGTGGTCCTGTAATTTTAATTTTTTCCTTCCCTTAGAGAAGAGAAGGGAAAGAGACTATACATGAAGGAAGCAAAACAATAGAGAAGGAGTTCTTGGGGTGGGAAGTTTTGTTTTCCCACTGCAAAAACTCACCCCAACTCCAAGGTTCTGAAAGCTTCCTCTCTCCACTGGGGCACACTCCTATGGATGGGAACTGTAACACTAGAGAATATATATTCATTTTGGAGTTCTACTTTGTTCAAAATTAAAAATTGGGGGAGAGGCTGGTAAATGAACTGGAAGCTTAGAAATAAAATTACAAAGAAGGCTGTGTAGACAGAAGTCTTAGCATTGAAAGTAAACAACTAGGGATCTGGGTACCAAGTTAAGGGCTATATGAAGAGCTCAATCTAAGAACAGGAATGAAAAGGACAAAATCCAGGTGCAGTGGCATGTGTCTATAATACCAGCAATCTAGGAAGCTAAGGCAGGAGGATCACAAGCTCAGGCTCAGGATGGACAACTTAGCCACTTAAGAGATTGCGTACCGAAATTTAAAAAGAGCTTAGGCAAGCAGTTCAGTGTGAAGGCCTTTGGTTTACTTCCTATGCTGCCAAATAGTGCTGGCAGGCAGGAGGTGCAAGACACTCCCTTGAATAACGATGTCTCTCTCCACCCCTTTCTTTTTCTTAAATTTAGCTTCGAAAATAGTCCACTCTGATAGTTTACACAGTTTAATCTTTGCAAAGATGGCCTTTACTAAGTCTGAAAAATCCCAAAAAGAAGTATGCGAGGAACATGCATCATGTCATTACTTTGAGTGTGGGTAATGGAAGGTAGGCAAAGAGGGTGCCAATGGCCTGTGGCCACAGCTAAAGCAAGGTGCTGATACTCCGCCAGGTCCTGGGACCACAGAAATGTCCCAGACTCCTCATATACAGCCTGAAAGGTATTTCACAGACTTCACACCTGCCCATGAGTTACAGAAACAGGATCACTTCCATGTGTGTAAACTGTAACTTCTCACAGGTGATATTCTGCTGTTAATGGGTTATTCCAGCACTGGCAGATGGTGGTCAACATTCAGACTCACAAAACAGGTAACTATCTTCCAAAAGGGAAAGCACACCAAAGGGAACATTGTACTACCATGTCATCAAATGTGAAGGTCAAAAGTGCCACCTCCCCACCTCCTGGGGAAGGCGTGATAGAAAACTGCTAACCCTTATCCGTTAAGGTGTTTTTACTGACCTGCTGAGCTTTGGGAGTAAGATGTAACTCAGAGCCAGGCTTCAAACGGATCTGGTCTTCTGCAGGAACCTGAACTGAGATGAAGGCAGCCATGCTTCGAGCAACCACTCGGAACCTAGGGTGTTAGGGGGAGGTCAGAAGAAGCAACTCACTCTCAAAGTAGACATTTAAAAATAAAGTCTTTTCTGTAATAAATAAATAAATAAATAACTGCGTTTCCAGATTTATCATATAGTCAGCCTCTTCAGGAAAATCAAATATGATCCAAGAAGCAGCTTTTATCTTCTGTTTCATTAATAACCACCCTAAAAATGTGCATAAGTCAGATTCAAGAATGAAAGTGTTAGCAGAGACTAGAAATGACTGGTGCCCTTATATGCGGCTGATAGGAATGTAAACAGTGCAGGTGCCATGAGAACCAGTTTGGTACTTCCTTAATAAGTAAAACAAACAGTAATAACATGACCCTAAAATTCCATTGCTATGTACATATCCACAAGAACTGAAAACAGCTGTGTGACAAGTCTGTATACAAATGCTCATAGCAACATTATCCACAACAGCAAGAGTGAACAATCCAAATGTCCATCAATTAATGGATGAATAAACAAAATGTGGAGACAAACAGGACAGAATATTATTCAACTGTTCTTAAAAGAATAAAGTCCTGACACATGCTTCAGAACACATGAACCTTGAAAACTTTATACTAAGTGACACAAGCAGGACCAGAAGCCATATTCTGTATAACTATGTTTACAAAATGTCCAAAAAGGAGGATTTAATACATAAAATCATAAAGAAAACTAGTATCTGCCAAACTAAGGACAGAAAGGGAATGAAGTGACTATTTAATGGGTACACTATTTAATGGGTACACGGGTTCCTTCTGGAGTTATAAACTATCCTGAAGTCAGCAAGTGACGGCTGTAATATTGTGAATGTATTGTCAGTGAAATGTACATATTAATGTTTATCAGAGTAAATTTTTGACAGTAACTTTTAAATGATATTTTACTGCAACTTTTTTAAAAAAACAGAATAAAAGGACTTGAATCAAACAAAATGTAAACAATCCAAACTTAAGTGGAAAATAAGAATTCTGCTACATTTCACCATAAACAAAGCAGCAGGAGGTTAACTGTGTAGAAACAGTGATTCCCAGTATGGTAAAGCTACTCCAGAAGACAAATGATGTCAGAATTGTACAGCAATTCCTTTCAACTCTGACAGAGGCTTGAAAATAAAGCTATGATGGAGGCTGAGGATGTGGCTCAATGGTAAGAATGTGTAATTAACATGCATGCAGCCCAGGGTTCAATAAGAGAAGAAAAGACGAGAGGGAAGGGAAGAGTAAGGGGAGGGGAGGAAGGGAGGATGAGAAAGAAGTCAGAGAGGGGAAAAGGCAGGGAAGAAGAAAGGAAAGAAAAGAAAGGTAGGGCCAGCCAAATAGCTCAGTGGATTAAAGTGCCTGCAAGCAGGTGCAGGGGCCAGAGATTCAATCCCGAGGCCAGCAGTGCTGGCCCCACCCCAGGGATGCGCTGAGACAGCAATAAGAGACTGAGTGTGGTGGTGCGCACCTGTTATCCCACCTCTTGGGAGGCTGTAAACAAGAGAATCACTACAAGTCTGAACTAGTGTGAGACCCTGAACACCCTATAGACCCTTCCCTAAAATACCAAAAAAAGGGGGAAGAGATGAAAAAAGAAAAACATCATATAAATCAGTACTATGAGACAGGATGAAGGATTAATGGCAAACTCACACCTTATCCATAGCAACAAGAGACTTCTTTCTCCCTACTTATCAACAGACCTCAGCCCAACTTGCTGACTAAGCAGCTCATTGGAGCCCCTCACAAATTCTGCAGGACGAAGTGCCCACAAATAGATGACTGACTACAGTGGTCTGACCTACCTATACGCCATCACTTTTTAGCTCAAAGCCAAAAAAAAAAAAAAAAATCAGTAGTGCAACCAAGCTACAATGTCAAAAGACAGGAGTTACCATTGAAATACACTACTTGAACTTACAGTTAAGCAAGAAACAAATGCTTTTTTTTTTGGTATTTTAGGGAAGGGTCTATAGGGTGTTCAGGGTCTCACTACTAGATCGGACTCATAGTGATTCTCCTGTTTACAGCCTCCCAAGAGCTGGGATTATAGGTGCACACCACCATGGCCAGGCTCTACTGCCAGCTCAGTGTGCCCTGGGGGTGGGGCCGGCATAGCAGGCCCGGGGATCGAACCTCCAGCCCCTGCAGCCCAACAAATGCTATTTTCAAATACTAAGATGTGATCAGACTCCACTTTTTCCAGTATCACTTCTGAAGCCTACTGAGAGCAGTGACACATGCTCCTCACCTGTTGGACAAGGGTGACTTCCGGCCCAACCCAAACGCCCCCAGAATCCCTGAACTGAGCCTTTCCTCAGCCACAAGGCTTTGTCTGCTCTGAAGCATGAGCAGAATCCGGACAACAGATTCCGTCAGGACCAAGTCGTTCTGCTCCATCTGAATCAGGGACAGCTGGAGGACTTGGTGCCACCACAGAAACAGCTTTGCCTCTTCCTGTGCGGAGCTGGGGGAGATACCAGAAGAAATAAAATCAGAAGTGGATATTTTTCCATTTGCATTTAACTGAAAGCCTGAGTTTGATGTAATGGCAACGTTTAGTACTTAAAAAGCTTAGGCTGTTTTATTTTTATTCTGAGTTTCTCACATGAAGAGAAACAATGCTATACTTAAGCTTGATTTATTTATCTTACTTAACATGATCAAGTTGTGACCACTTTCCTATAAATGACTCAAGTTTATCTTTCTCCATGGCACAGTAGTAAGTACTCTATGGTGTATAAGTACACATTTCCTTTATCCATGTATCTGTTGATGAACATGTAGGCTGCTTCCAAGATTTAGCTATTTTAAATTGTGCTATAATCATGGGTGTACATGTATCACTAATAAGATGTCTTCAACTCTTCTGGAAAGATAATTAAAACAGCCATAGCTGCATCAAATGGAATGTCTAGTTTAGTTTTTATAAGGACTGTGACAGACTGTTCTCAAAGGGAAAATGATCAAGAGACGGTAGGAAAGAGGAAGGAAGGGAAAAGGGATGTGTCTGTTATACATATGTATCAACTCTACAGAGCAATGTAAGCATCATGTCCTAGAAAGATGTACAAAAAAAAAGGAAGGGGGCCAAGGGAAGAGGGAGAGAAGGAAGGGAAAAGGGTTGAAAAAGGAATTAAGGTGTGTTAGTTATGTAGCTGTACCAACTTCCTACAAGGAATGCACACACTCATATGACACTTGTGTACAGCACTAATAAACTAAAAAGACAAAGAACCTATGATGATTCTCTTAATAAAACATGTTATTAAGGTAACAGAATTGTAACAGCTAACATTTATCAAACATTTAGTTCATACCAGATTTTTTGTCTTGGCTTTCTGTTCAAAAATTTCAGTCTATCCTCATAACCTTAGGCTAGGTATTACAGCCTGTGTCTAGATGTCCCCCCAAAAGCATCATGTGGTCATAGCTAGTGCGTTCTCAGAGGTGGCTGAACACAGTGACTGAATCAGGTGACTGGTTCATAGTGCAATGCTAGGATTAAGAGTGTGTGATTACTGAATCAGTTCACCAATTGGTTAGTTACTGCCCTATTCCCAGAGCCAGGATACAACAAAAGGGACAAAAAGAGACTTGTCTTGCCCTTGTCTTCTGTTTGCCATGAACTGGCTCTACTCTACAATGCCTCTCTACCCAGCCAGCATGCCTTGAAGCCAGCCAAACAGGGAATAAAACCTCTAAAAACTGTGAACTAAATAAACCCTTCCTCTCTAAACTTAGCAACAAGAAAGTAACCAACACACTAAGGATTATTTTCTCTACAAGAAAACTGAAGCTTGATGATTCAAAATGCTTATTTTAGGTCACTGATGTCAAACCATTAGAGCTTTCAATGATACAAACATCCTGTTACCACACCATACCATAGGTTTGACACCACTGTTTTAGGACATTAAAAAATTTGCTCAAAAGGTCAACCCATCAAAATATGAATTTTTCCCAAACAAATACAACTATACCTCATAGCCTTGTTACGTTTTCTATGTGCCACTTGGTTGTATGTCCTTAAATATATACTGTACTTAATTAAATCAATTCAAATGAAACCAAACCCAAGTATCATACAGCAGCCAACAGGCGGACATACCTTGGATACACCTGTTCCAACCACTTGCTGAGGAGCAGCAGCACTTTCATTTCATTCCTTAAAGTTTGTTCACTATTTAAACACTGAAGCAGGTAGACATACAGAGTCAAGTAACTGCCAAGAGCTAGGCACTCCTGCAGAAACTCTTCTATGGTGAGCTCAGGAACCTGAAGGGACACCAGGATGGGCCCCCATCCTAAATTTTGATTGATGGAGTCTAAGAAAAGAAAAAGAGAGGAATCAAAATATAAGAAAAAGTCTAATTGTTTAACAACTGCAAAAAATCTATTCATGTTAAAACAGCAATTTCTCACATCAGCTCTACAGGCCACAAAAGTCAAAGGTACCCTGCAGCTTCAACTGGAAAGCCCTCACACTTGATGGCACCGAGGGGACTCAAAATTGAGGACTGCACATCTGCAAATCACCTTTCTCATCAGATCATTAACCTTGGCTGCAGTGGTCATCTAATAGTTTTAACTTTAAAACAATTCTGAAGTATGTATGAATACTTTTACCTCTCCAAGGAAAACTGTTCCCATTTGATGCATCATAAGTATCTTACTTACCAAAGCTTGGCTCTCATTTTGATGAAAACCTTGATTCTTAGAAACACAAATTTAGGAGTATTATTTTAATGGTTTTTAATTTTTGGAGAGAATAAGGCTTGGATACACAGAAACAGGCCCAGCGCCTCCAGGGACAGACATGGATGGTTCATGGCTTGTCTGGATAGAGCAGAAGGCGGCAGATTTTAGGCACTTACTGGGCTCCTGCTTCAATATTCTCTTTTCTCTCTTACTGTATAGTATAATATGTATCTGGGTGTCAGAGTTAAGAAGGGCTGTTTTGAGCAACTTTTACTAATCAGACTACATTGTCTCAAGAGTCTGAGAGTTTAGAGCAAAGGTAAGAAAAAGGAAGGGTGGGAGACGGGAAAGAGGAACCCCTTCATATAGTGTAAGCACCATGACAAGAAACAAAAACATTTCTATGAAGACTCATTAACCAAAGTGATCCAAAAGGGGGGAAATAACATAGTGGATCATTATTATAAAAAGGTTCTGGTATACAAAATACATTAGAGCTCTTCTCCCTTGAAATGTGTGACTGAACCAACAGACAAGGACCAGAAGTTTTCTCCACCTTCTGTGGGTAAGATTCTACAGGTACCTTCTGCGGACAAAACTTTAACCTTTCCTGGGGAAGACCAGCACAATGAAAAGAAAAGGTGACATCTTACATTCCTTGAAGTATGCAGTGATGCAGGCTTCTGTAATCTCTGCCATGTGACGGACAGAAGCCAGGCTCTGGCAGGCTGCTGTTAAAAGAGGCAGCACCACCAGCCCATAGACTTTTTGACCAATCCAGGTCCGGATACTGCCCCGCAGGAACTCAGCTGTTGGGATGGTTGCATTGTTCATCATCATTAGGACTTCCATGAAGAGGCTGCAGAGGGCCATGTGGCGGGCCTGCCTGTCCATGTCTGAAGGGGAACACACACATACACATACTCAGGTGGTTGCAATGTGATCATAAGGACAACAATGCTTCCATCTTAGTTGCTCTCCAAGGACCAGAAGGAAGATTTTGGACCTGGCTTTTATGGACAGACATAGCACAAAAGTATTTTATATAAGCAAACTATTAAGAGTTTCCTGAGTACAGCAGTGTGACAGAAGAATAACTTTAATGCACATATAACAAACTGGTGTGAAAGAGTAAGTTTATCATAATGCACCTAATTACATTTATTTTCCAAATTTTGCTAATGCAAAACCAAATACATAAAGGACTGCAGCAGTCATTCAGTTTGGTGAGCTACTAAGCAACATTACCCAACACCCTACCATAGCTATGGCCAATGCTATCAACATTGTAGGGTGATTTACACAGAATCAAAGTTATTGCTTAAGAGTAAACATTAAAGGAGATTTTTTTTCATGTATTTAGTATGGGGTCTACAGGGTCTCACTAAACAGATGGGACTCGGAGTGATCCTACTGTTTTCAAGCCTCCCAAGCACTAGGATTACAGGCATGTGCCATCATGCCCAGACTCAATGTGCCCCAGGGGCGGGACAGGCACAGCATGGTGGTGATCAAACCCCAGTACCTATGTCTGCCTAAGCAGGCATTTTAATCCACTGAGCTATCTAGTCAGCCCTATTGCTTACGTGGGTTTTTTTTGTGTGTATGTGTGTGGTGCTAAGGATCAAACTTGGGACCTTGCGCATTCCAATCAGGTGTGTATGCCAATGAGCTGTCTCTCCAGCCCTAGGAGTTTTAATAGGCATAATTTTTGCCAATTATTTCTACTTTCCTTGAATTAGGTTGTTTTGTTGCTGTTGTTGTTTTAAATAGAACAGGACTGATGATTCTGTATCTGTCAACAGGAATAGTTTAAGAATTTGGAAGATCTCAACACATACATCAAAACAAGTTCACTACTTATTCAGTGTTAAATCAACTCTAAATTTAATGTTACTGCAGGATCAACCAGGAAATAAGTACTTTGAAAAAAGAACCTTAAGGAAAGAGATAATAACAATATGAATACATGAATTTTTTCATATATTTGCGTATTATTCTTTGAAATAAAGGCCTTATCTCAATTTCAATTGAATAGCAATTCAGATTATAATTTACCTTCTAAGTATGACCCATACGTAAAAATCATGGCAACGAGCCTCAATACAGATCCTAGCCTGTTCATCATTAACAGGGCTAAGAATTATTTCCCTAAAACTACCTGATCCTATTACTCTTCTGATGAGTCTTTCTAGAACATCTTTGCTCACTTTCCCTGGCCAGCTATTATTCAGCTTATCTGGCCCAATGACACAGGTCCACCTCCATCACTTTCTCCAGCACTGCCTGCTGACCCTTCCTTCCCTCCTTTGTTCCCACCTTCCCTCTGCCCCTCCCCTTCTTCTCTCCCTCTTAATCTTTTCTTTCACAAAGTAGATAGCCTTGCTTCAAGACCACATGAGCATATATTTATTAATTCTCAAAATATATCTCTTTCCTTGCCACTCAGAGTGCTAGCCCAACACCAAAGTGAGAAAGGTAACTGTCTGTACTCCTCTCATGGCAGCATGCTGATTTCTGGCTCATCCTTGCAGTAAAGATGTGAGAGCCCTGTGGCTTGCACACGTAGTCTCTTTTTAGGCTCCTACCTTGGGCAGCCCTGGACCTCATTAGCTCCTCAAGTGCCTTCACAAGGTATAAATGAAGCTAACCTCACTACTTCATCTGCCTTTACAAGCTTCTCCTTTCACTTTGTCTCTGGTCTCTGAGACTTTCTATCCTTTTGCCATTCTATTGGTATGTTTATTTGTTGGTTTCCCAAAAACTTTTTATACAGCCTTCTTGTTTATTTTTAGCAGGGAGCCTTCTTGTTTGTTTTTAGCAGGGCAGGCAGTCAGGATGTCTAGGTCACCAACCTGCTAGCAGCAGAATCACTCTCTGTAAAGTATCTTGACAAGTCAACAGGTGGCTTTCCTAGTTAAGAACCAGACGCTAGAAAGGTCAAATGGTAAGAAAGCTACTTACTCAAAGATCTCCTGGTACCTCTCAATCATTAAATCCAATCATCCAGCTCAAACCTCAGTCCAGGTCACCTCATACCAACATTTTTCTGAGTGAATGACTCAAGTTCGTAACACTTAGAGTCTGAGTGTCCCATGTCCGAAGAGATCCATGCCTGACCACTGCCTCTTTGGATATAGGAATGACAGGGTCTTACTCATCTTCACTATCCCATAATGCCTCACATATGGAAGAAATTCACTACATAAATGATTTCTCATTGGTCACTTACCGGGTGGGTTAAAGACAATGATATCATCTAAGAGCTTAGCCATTTCTTGCTCTAGAACTGCAAAGGTGATTTTTCCATTTTGTTCTAGGTCGCTGAGGAACTGAACCATCTGATGAATGAAAGCTTGGCATTTTGGAACTACATCCTGACAAACAACAAAAAAAGGATCATTCCAATGAATCTAAGCAAGGACTGTCAACTGGTTGTACCCTGAGAGCATGGCACTGCACTGACACTTGGGTAGGAAGGATAAGGACAGATTTCACTCAAAGGCCTCATTCAGGTGAGCCAGGGACATATGTCAGGTGATATGAAACACAGTCAACACCTGGACAAGAACCCATGTTCTGGGGCTGGTGAGATGGCTCGGTGGTCTAAAGCACCTACTTAGAACAAGCTAAGCTAAGCAAAGCACAGGGACCGTGGTTCAATCCCCCAGCACCACATGCCAGCCAGCCCCGCCCCCTGGTGGGCTGAGCTGGCCACACACACACACAATAACACACACACACACTAAATAAATAAACTTAAAAAAAATAAATGTTAAAAAAAAAAAAAAAAAAAGAACCCATGTTCTCCTAGGTCCTGCAAAACACATCCATCCCCACATCACTTCTTACTCCATTAATGAACTAAGTAAACAATGACTTTTTCCCCAGGAACTTTTCCCAAAACTTTTGTGTTCAATCCTCACAATGCACTTTGAGAAATGGCATTTCAAATTCAGAAGAGAAAACTAAGACCTGCCCAAAGTCAGCATGCCAGTGAGTTGTGATCTGAGTCTGTCAGACCTAAAATTGTTATCATCATCTTCTGTGCCACTCTGCTACCAATGACATTCAGGTAATTAAACTAGTGGGCCATTGCAAGGCCTCAATCAACTCTGATCTGATCAACATGTGATGCTGTTAGGAATGAAGTCTTAGCAAAAGGAATCAAACCAAAGGGCCCAAGAGGCCAGTATGAGTACACAGTGACACAGAGCTCCTAGCTTTCTCTGTTGAGCAGTCAGCAGGTTCAAGACTATCTTCAGTAGCACTTATAGAACGTTCTGTCTCAAAGAACACCCTCTACCTTTTAATCACCCTCTCAACTTACAAGATGTTTCTGGTTCTCGATAGGAACGGAAAGGCCTGCAGCCACTTTCAGGAGCTTCACAATCAATTCAGCAGCAGACTCTTTTGCCAGGATGATGGATGGAGGATAATGACTGCTAAAATAACTTAATACACTCTGGTATGACACAATATCCACAAGATGCCATGAAAGTGAGCTACTTTGTCCAAGGAGACTAAGTAAAGGTGAGTCCTGAAAAATAAAACACAGATTCTTAAGACTGTGTTAGTTCTTGAGCCCCCCAAGTCCCCAGAATGTCTCTAGTCTGTGAAAAAAAAAGACACTAAGCACGATGTCAAGTATCTACTCCAGCTGGCACTAGGAAAAGTAATTAGTAAAATCAAGGCAAAAATAAATGACTATCAAGATCCAATTTTCAAAGGATTCTGCTCTGGTGATACATATCAACAATGAACTTAAGGGACACATAGTACAATAAAGTAGGAATTATTGAGATGTAAAATAAAATTGATTATATAGTCTAAACTGTGGAGTTCTCTTCACAATGTAGACCAGACAACGGACTCTCCCAGGAAAAATGATCTAGCCGAAGGCACAGTTCACGTTCCAAGCATCTCTTCATACTGACAGAGGTGCTAGGGAAGCAAATGAAAACCACAACCTGGAGAAAACTGAGGACCAAGAAGCCAAATCTGAGAACAAATGCCCCAAACTTACTGTTTGGTCTACTAGCTGAACTTCTTTTGCCAAGAGAACCATCATGAAAAGAAGGCAGACGATCATGCTCCTAGTTTCAGGCTGGGGGTTAGGACTCCAGGCATCAGACAGCACACTAACCCAATTTACTTCACAGAGTATAGACCCGAAAAACAAGAAACAGCTCTTAGGGCTTCCTCGTTCCACCTAAACACAAATGCACACAAGTCAGTGTTTTGCTGTTTGATATATCTTTAAATGTATACAAATCAATTTTCATAAATTTTATAAAACAATTTTTCTCAGATTATAAATATTCATAATCCTACCCTGCAGAGATTTAAGTATTCATTGTTACTAACTTTCCTTCATGTGCTCGCTTTGGCAGCACATATACTAACTTTCCTTCTATGCTCAGTGTATGTGAACATTTTGGGACAAACCTGTTTGGATTTTATTATCTGTCCCAATAATTTGTAACAGGAGAGGAAAGCCCTCCCCTAGCTCCCTAGATGGAGATTCCCTGCAACAGTGAGTCACTGAGGTTATAGGAATGTCAGAATCTAAGGTGTGTTCAGATAGGATGAAAGTGGACCATTAATAGTCTGTATAGTTCCTAAAGGTAGGCATGAATCAGAACTACTAGGAGAACCACTAAAACACAGATTGCTGGGCCTGCCCCTTGAGATTTTAGGCTAAGAGCAAGAATGTGCATTTCCATTAAGTCCCCAGGTGATAGTCATTTTGATGTCCCTAAGATCACATTTGGAGAACTCTACATTAGTGTAATATTTATATCACCTTTGTCAATGTAATATTATAAAAATGTGTCTATGTCACTCTAATTGTTAATGACTGCATAATCCTTATATTCTGTTAGAGATGTTTTGGGGGAGTATATTTACAATATATAATCAATCTTCAAATTATATTTTATAAGCTTGTTTGATTATTTCTAATTTCTTTAAAATAAATCAGGTCTAAGTCAAAATTCTTCCTTTAAAAGTGAAGATTAGGTGCCAGGGAGATGGCTCAATGGAATAAGCGATTCCCTGGCAAGCGCACAGGCCTGAGTTTAATCCCCGGTTCCGCCAAAATAAATAAATAAATAAATAAATAAATAAATAAATAAATAAATAAATAAATAAAAGTGAAGGTTAAAAGCTCTATTATAGGGCTGGAGAGATAGCCTAGTGACTTAAGCAACTGCCTGGCAAGCACAAGGTCCTGAGTTCGATCCCAGTAACAAAAAAAAGCTCTATTATGGTCTACAAAATTATGATCAATGGAATTTGGTGACAATTCACATCTTATATTATGCTACTAAATCTATTCCCTCATAGAAAATGATTCTTCATCCTCCTTTATAATCTATTCTGTACATCAGCCTTGTCCAAAAACTGAACGCACACACATACACCTCATTTCATGACTTCTTTCCATAATTCTGGTTACAAACCAAACTGGATGAGAACCAAATCAGATTTCCCTGTAAGGTCAACATTGAACCTAACCAGTGAATTTGATACAGTTCTCATCCAATTTGGTTTATAACCAGAATCATGGAAAGAATTAAATTCATGAACAAAAGTATTACTGTATATACATAAATAAAATTATGCCAACAAGACACAAAAACTTTAAAGAAGCCCAAGTTTTGAGTAGGTTAGGAGCCTGTATCATTAGTGTAAAATCTTTAGACTCTATAGTCTACTGGGCCAGACCAACACACCAATTAATCAGTCATACAGTGAAGTTCATCTTCTTATTTAGTAAAAGCCTAATCTCCCAGCCCTTTAAGCCAACTTTCATTTACATTATAATTAAATATCTACCTAGTACCTGCCTCATCTACTAAACCTAGCTATAAAATCACTCTGAAGTCTAGTATTTCTCTAGTCTAAATCTAGCTATAAAAGCACTCTGAGGTCCAGTATTTCTCTAGAACAACTGCCCTCTGCTTCCCTGGGGCTGGCTACAGAGGAGTGGCTCTAACAGCTACACTGGGTGAAGTTTCACCAAAGCACTTAAAAGCTTTAGTATACTTTACTAGTCATTATAAATAACTGCAGATCTGTATCAGTTAAAGCATTTAAGGTGTTTCAATAATAAATACATTAAGACTAAACATAAATCAACTGATGACTATTCAACAAATCAACTGAAACTATCGTAAAAACCTAAGCCACTATTACTGAGAATTTTTTAAATAGAAAGAATGACAAAACCAGCTCCAGATTTCTGACTCATACATAAATCACACTGCAGTACCTGTTTTTGTAACTACTGTTTCTACTGAAGATGCACACATACACTTACTGGCACTTTTTTCAGATCATTGTAGTTCTTTCTATAATCACAATGCATCATTATTTTTATTGCCTATAATCTAATTATTCACTCATATAACTGCTAAAAAGAATTAATAGCTTGAGCACCAATTCACATTTCTTTAGCAAAACATTTAATAAGTAGTTCAAATGACACAAGAAAAACATGTACACCAATCAACACTAAACAAAAATCACTGAACTATGTACTCACACATTATCTCTAAAGTTTACTGACATTTTAAAAACAAAATCTTAGACCATAACGCCAAGTGAAATAAGTCAGATACAGAAGGTTAAATAGTGTGTCGTTTCTATTATATGAAAACCTGAAATATAAGTAATTTAAAGAGCGAAATAAAGGATAGGCAATAGAAAACAGGTAGATTTGTGGAGATGGGAAGGGATTTGAGAGTGGGCAAGGGAAGAAGTAAAACTAAGACATGATATGTGTATATAACAATTCCCATGACGAATGTAATTCCTATATATTATTAAGATATATTAATAAAAAAATAACAAAAATATAAAATAAGGACAAAATATTTCTCTGGGTTTTAAAAATGATGAGGTAAATGTTTTCCAATCATCTATGAACTAAACAATTAAATTATTTCCGTGAGCTGCTATTATCCATAGTACTGCTGAGGTAGCACGCAATCTGTACACAGGCACAAGTAGTCCCTCTGCAGAACAATCACACTGAACAGGCTACTGACTAGGTCTCTCAGAAGTGACAAGAAGGGTAAAGGGCTCACTTTGAAGAAGGCCTCCATGAGCACATGGTCGGGATACAGATCTTTCCACGGGAGCTTTTGGTAGGCACTATGAAAAGCATACAGAATAAACTCTGGCATTTTGGGCGCTGTACAGGCCTCACAGTAATGCATCAGGTGCAGACGAAGGGCTCCTTCATCGCCTGGCAACAGTTTGTCTAGAATTAAAAAAAAAAAAAAAATTACACCAGAATGCTTTTAGTTTATATATTTGGGATGGATAGATTTTTTTGAGACAGGGTCTCATTATGTCACCAAGACTGGCCTTGAATCCTGCCTCAGCCTCATGAGGGCTGGGATTATAGGTGTCTGCTACCACACTTGACAGTTTACCTTTTCAAAAGGAAGCCATTATGAGACACAAATCTGAACTAAGAGTCTAAAATCTAAACTTTTCAACATTTACCCAATTTCAAGGATTTTCACGTATGGGAAAAGGGAACACTGGCAGATCAATAAGATGAATACTTGGGCAACTGCAATAAACCAAAGGTGTAGAACAGCTGGTAAGTAGTAATCAGCTTTCCTTAAAAATTTCTAGGGCCGGGGAGATAGCTCGGTAGAATAAGTGCTTGCCTGGCAAGCACAGGGTCCTGAGTTCAATCCCTTGTACCACAAAAGGGAAAAAAAAAAAAAAATTTCTAAATATATGGCTTTTTACTCAAACACACTTCTACAGACTGCTACCTACAATATACACTGCCTCATGCATTTAATGTGTCATTCATTTAGCATCTTGGAGGAAGACAATATTCTTCAAGAGGAAATGATTGTACATTCCTCAAAGAATGGCAAAGCTGGGCATGGTGGTACATGCCTGTCATCCTGGCTACTCAAGAGAATGTGGCAGAAAGATTAAAAGCTTAAGCCCACTCTGGGCAACCTGGTGAGGACCTGATTTAAAAGTATAACATAAAAAGGGGCTAGTAATGTGTGGAAGGCATAATAACTCCAGGCCTCCAATACTATTGCAAGTGAATCTTTTTCTAAGTCCTGTGAATTATGACTCCGTGCCATATAGCCCTTAATAGTCACCTGAGTGCCTGTGACCTATAAAATTCTCTTGGTGCATCAGTGTCATTAGTGACGCTGACTTCCGCCTCCCTTACCTCTGATGAGATAGGTTCCTAGTTCTTACCCCGCCTATTTCCCATAAGTCTCCTGCTATGCCCCGGAGGTGGGACTTCCTGTCATGGCCCAGTTGCCTAGTTACTCACGCCTTTTACCCGCCGACTTCATTTCCCTATGCCTCCACTATATATACCTAGCACCTCCCCTAAATAAACAAGACTTGATCAGAATCCTGTCTTGTCTCCATTTCTCGCGTCTCCTGTCCTTTGTCCCCTATTCAATTCCCTGCTCCTCTCCCAGGTGACCTTCGTTGACTGACCTACTGGCTCCGGACAGTAATGGAGCTCAGTGGCAGAGCGTCTCTGAGTTCCATCCCCAGTACCTGAGAGGAAAAAATTATACACACACACACACACACACACATACACACACACACAGTCAATAAATACTTCAAAAAACACTCAGCATCACTGTCATTACCCAAGATAAGTGCTGGAGGGAATTCAGAGAAGAAGAAACTTATATATTGTTGGTGGGAATATAAATTGGTACAGTCATTATAAAAAGCAATAGGGAGGTTCCTAAGAAAAGTAGGCATAGGCAACACTTAAAGAGTGAATGGCTATAATTCTTCCATACCTGACAAAAGTACAGCAATTTCAAAAAACAAAAAGAAGTTACAAACTCTGTAAGTAATTTTATAGGTGTCCTTGCTTCCATCACAGGTAACTGTCCAAAAACTAAAATAAAAGTAATAGGAAAGCGAAGGTAAAATCATGACTTGGAAGACCTTTGGAAAACAGAAGTATTAATCAGAGACATAAGACAGCATCTCCCTACCTTTAAAATTCTCGTGCAATGTTTCAACACAGTCGGTGAATAACTGTACAATGCTGGAGGCCACCTCAGCATCACTCTCCAGCCAGGGGTAATGCCACTGCTGACTGCTTTAAAGAAAAGAAGTATGCTGAGCAACTGAAGTCCTCATGATTAACTAATTGTAGTTCCCAGTGTCTAAGGCAGGCCCAGGTTTCAGAAAACTTTGTATTATGTAGCCTTACTACATATTTAGGACAACTTTAAAGGCTGTAAATTCCTGGAGGTAACTGTATCCTGTAATACCAACTATATAACTTTATTTCCACTTTTTCCTACCCTTGGGTTCAGTGCAGTTAAGTTTCAGAAAAGTGCTAACTAAATAATCTTAAATTAACATTGTTTTTCATCCAATTTACAATCTTGAACACCTTGGTTAATTTCAAACACCTCAGAAAAATATCTTACATGAAGTTTTCCTTTATCCAAAGCACAAGACAGCTGGGGTAATTGTACTAATGTCTATTGGGTTGTTTAAAGGAACAGTTAATGTTTAAACACTTCATCGATTTTGCATGCTATGTCTGGTGATCTGAGCAACTACTATGAAGATAACAATATGTAATATAACAACTATTGCTAATTTTTTATCACCTTTTGAAATTCTGTATTGTTTTTATCATATTTTGTTTTTGCCTTTGTGCTTTTTTTCTTTTTAAAATAAAATTTAACAAGAGTCAATCTAACAAAGGAAGTAAAAGATTTGTAGAGTGAAAATTATAGTGCTCTGAAAAAAAAGAGATCAAAGAGGATTTCAGAAAATGGAAAAATATTCCTTGGTTCTGGATAGGAAGAACCAATGTCGTAAAAATGGCCATACTCCCAAACTTGTTATACAGATTCAATGCAATCTAATTAAGATACCATTAGCATATCTCATAGATCTAGAGAAAATATTCCTAAAATTCATCTGGAACCAAAGAGATCTAGAAGAACAAAAGCAATCCTGGGCAACAAAGGAAAAGCAGGAGGCATCACAATTCCTGACTTGAAATTATACTACAAAGCTACTGTGATTAAATCAGCATGGTCCTGGGGAAAGAGACCAGAGGCTCAATGAAACAGAGAGAAGACACAGACAGACACAACTACAAACACACTCAGCCACTTTATCTTTGACAAAGGAGCCAAATACATTCACTGGAAGAAAAGCAGTCTGTCCAATAAGTGTAGCTGGGAAAAAAATGGCTTTCCACATGGTGAAGGCTAAAATTAGACCCACGTCTATCACCAAGACTAAGCCAGAGCCAAAATGGATCAGAGACTTAAATATTACAACTAAAACTACAACACCAAATTTCCTGGAAGGAAAAGTAGGTAGAAACCTTGAAGACATAGGGCTAGGTACAGAGTTCACACACAGAAACCAAACTGCACAGGAAATACTTCAAAGAATCAACAACTGCGATCGCATCTTTAAGTTTCTGCACATCAAAAGAAATCACAAATAGAATAAAAAGAAAACCCATGAACAAGAAAAAAATTTTAGGCAAATGTCCCTCCGATAAAGGACATCTAGAACATATAAATTTTTAAAAAGCCCGCCGAATTTAACGACCCAATCCAAAAATGGACATCTGAGACGAATATATACCTCACAAATTAAGAAATACAAATTACAAATAAATATATGAAAAACCGTTCAACGTCATTGATCATTTAAGAGATACAAATTAAAACAATGCTGTAGGGCCAGGGAGATGGCTCAGTAGAATAAGCGCTTTCCTGGCAAGCACAAGGGTCTGAATTCAATCCCCAGTTCCATTAAAAAAAAAAATGCTGAGGTCCCATCTGACCCCAGAAAGAATGGTTATCATCAAAAAGTCAGCCAATAGCAAATGCTGGAGGTGTTGTGGGGAAAAAGGAACCCTTCTCTATTGCTGGTTGGAGTGCAGACTGGTACAACCACCATAAAATCAGTGTGGAGATTCCTCAAAAGCTAGGACTGGAGGTGCCATTCAACCCAGCTATTCCCCTCCCAGATTTTTCCAAATGAATTGAAAATATACCACAGTGATTAATGTGTGCCTATGTCTATAACAGCACAATCTGTCATAGCTAAATCTTGGAAACAACCCAAATGCCCATCAACTGAGCAGCAGATAAAAGATGTGGTATTTTTACACAATGGAGTATTACTCAGCTATAAAAAAGATAAAAGTTTAGCCTTTTATAGGTAAATAGATACAACTAAAGACCATACTGGAAAGTGAAATAAATAAGACCTGCATATGCAAACACTGTATTATATCACTAGAGTAAGAACCGGAAAGAGTAAATAAAATCCAAACAGAAAAATAGATACTACGAAAAGGAAAGAATGTTGAAAGGGAAGGAAAAACTGGGATGAGGAAAAGGATAAAAGAAAGGAAAAAGACATATTTATGTACATATGTAGGATAGGTTGGATAATCCTACAGCAAATTTCTGCTAGTCTATTGAAAGGAAAAGTTAATGCCTATTCTTTTTTCTTCCTTTTAATTTCTTATGCTTTTTTTTTCCTTTTTTAATACCTATTTTAATGTTTATTTTTGGCAATCTAAACAACTAATTTGAAGATAACTAATTTATGTAGTACAGCAACCATTTTTGAGTTCATATTATTCTGTATAGTGAAATTCTATATCATTTCTAATTTTTTTTTCTTTTTTGTACCACTTTGTATTCTCTTTAAAGAAATAAAAAATTAAAAATTAAATTTTAAGAGGCTGGGGATTTGGCCCAGTGGTAGAAGGGTTGCCTAGCAAGGTGGAAGCCCTAGGTATGGTCCTTGGCACCAAAAACAAAAAATAAACCTTCCCTAAAAAACAATTCAACCAAAAAAAATACAGTAAAATAAAATAAATCAAATTTTTAAAATTACCATCTTTTGTAACAAGATGGTCAACAATTTAACAGACAAGCAGTAATCAAAGAAAATTCTTTACATGAAAATTTGATTTTTTTAATCTGGTCTACTAAATCCACTATCAAAATAAATCCTATTAATTTTCCTGAGAAATAATCAAATACCTGTGTTTTGATCGGTCTACAGACAAGCACTACAAAATGCTAAAATTTGTGCCTTATTCAAGAATAGTCCCCAGCTATAAGCAAAGACCCTGAACTGTTCACATTTTCCCTACAGGACTCTCGAAGCAGAATGGGTCATCCAGAGAGTCTTGAAACAGGAGTCAAAGGCCTGCGCGTGAGCCCCAGCTTTGGCACTAGCCACTCGGCTGAAGATGAGAAACACACTCATATTTTCTCAGCCTTAAGATAAAATTAATGCTTCTGGAAACATAAAATCTGATTTCTACCACTGCCGTCATTTTTATAAAACTCCTGACAAGCTCACCAGTTTTTCTTTGTATACTTTCAGAGAGGAAAAAACACTCAGCAGACAGCTCAATGCATTTTAGATTATCGCTTAACCCAAAAGTATTTAAGTGCTCATGAAATGTTTTTATTTAATTGCATAGTTCCAGGTTTAAAAAATATTTCCCAACCAATAACCTGATAGTCAACTTATTTTCTCAAACTAACTAGGTAATGGAGAGAATTGAGTCTCTTAATTTATAGTGTTACATTATCAAAACCTAAGGGAAACCTCAGGAGAACAGCACCTGTTTTTCTGAAATTAAGTACCAAAAATATTCAACTTCTTCATTGTGGAAAACTGGAAATAAGTGCCCCATTTTGTTCCAAAATAAATATAAAGACATCACTGATCACCCAGCTTAACAATTTTATAAAGAAAATGCCTAAATTTTTGAAAGCAAGCATTTTCTAAATGTATATACATGACCTGCCACTGAAAATTATATCTATGAACTTGTCATCTTTACCAAACATCATTAGAACTTTAAGTACTTGTCAAAGAAATTCAAGCATCTGAAAAACTATTTACCTTTCATTGTCCTCTAAAACCAGGATCCATGGCTTAAAGAGCTGGATGATTACTGAATGTAAGGATCTTAGCACTGAAACAGCAAAATTTTTAGAGATAAGAAATAAGCTCATCCTTTGTCAGCATCACTGATAATATTTTATAAAAAATCTACTTCTTAATATATATATATGCATAAACCTATGTTAACATACAGACATGTTTAGGCTAAGTATGTTTTTATTTTCATTTGCTGCAATGAATTTAGGAATTATTTATTACAATACAATTTTTATTTATTACGATACAATATAATGACAATGTCATAGGTAATTTTATAACATTATTTCTAAGATAAATGCTTAATATTTAGAACCTTTTACTTTGCTAGGTAAACAGAAGAAAGCCTTTATACCACCTCCTGCAAAGGAGAGGCAGATAAGAGTTGTAGCAAGAATCCTGTATTCACTAAATAAAGTACAAAGCCATGACACGTATGTGGATGCACACCTGTAGTATATACTTTCTATTTCCTTTCCTTGATACATGACATAAATCTCTCAATATGTCTATTTATGTGTCTTCTAAGGGAAGGGCAGAAAACCCTGTTCCATGCCGCAAAAGAAGCATGTTACCTGCTTTGTTGCCAACAGATGCATCTTGGGCCAAGGAGGCCATTTCTGAATCAATCAGCCTTTTGACAAGGTAGCCCAAGAGTGTCTTCACATGAGCCATGTAAGGACTCCATTTTGAGAATAAACCAAAGCTTTTAAAGTCCAACTTGGATAACCGAAGCTTATAGAAAAAGTCTGAAAGCCACTGTATGGTCTCTACCACCTGGAAAAGATAACCAAGCCAGAAATGCTTACTGTCTACTTTTAGAACACTATGAAAGACTGTCTTGAGAATATAGCAAGCTTTGACCTTTTAAAATTAGTATTAATTGTACAAAGGGGTTTCATTTGACTTTTCCACATATGCATACAGTGTACCTTAACCACACTCACCCTCCCCTCTATACTTTCTTTCTCCCTTTCCTGCTTTAAGAGTTGTAAGGGCCAGGGAGCTAGCTCAGCAGCGTTAAGTGCCTGCCTCACAAACACAATCCCAAGTTTAATCCTCAGTACCGCAAAATACTACTACTACTAATAATAATAATAATAACAATAATAAATGTCTGCTTTCATCCAGTTCCCAAGTCATGCCCTTAGGGCCAGCGAGATAGCTCAGTGGACTATGTGCCTACTTAGGTAAGCATAAGGCCCAGGGATTGGCACCACATGCCGCACCAGCCCTGCCCCCTAGCACGCTGAGCTGGCACCAAGTCCGTGGTGGAACATGTCTGTAATCCAGCACTGGGGATGCTGAAAACAGGAGGATCACTACCAGTCTGAGCTGCATAGTAAAAAGGTTAAAAATTCTTTTCCTAGCACAGTAGACCCTTTAATTAAATCCTCATATGAACACACTGGGGTAAAATTGGTAAATTTGGGCCTTAGAGAGATACTGCAGTGGTCTCAGGTGAGTCAGAGGGCTAAAAGGGCATGGAAGGTTTGCTCAGGGAGTGCCCAGGCCTTGCTGTGGACAGCTGGGCAAAAAATAAGCTCAAGGTTATTAAAAAAAAAAAAAAAAAAGAAAGAAAGAAAACCAGACAAAGGATAGCAAAGGAAATTACAGGGCTCTTAAAGATAATGCACAAAAACTAGTTTTATAAATAGAGTATTATTCAAAAAGCAGCTTTTAAAAATACTTTTAAATGTGCTCTAACTGCTTAAAAAACAAACATCAAGGGAAATGGAAAAACACAAATGCATTAGAACCCAAAAGCTATGTACCTGTTTATCTGATAAGAGAACATCTGAAGAGCCCTGAAGCATGGCACTCTTGGAATAAACTGCCTCCTGCTGGAAGCTTGGGGTACAGCAGCCCAGGGCCCTCAGAGTGGCTTTCCAACACTCAGTGCTCAGTAGCTGCTCAGCGGAGCCTAGGGAGCAGGACAAAGCAAGCAAGTCAGCATTTTTCCCAAACTTAATTTTTCTACTTGAATCAAAGAACACATGATTCAACACATAAGAATTATACACAAATCCAAATCAAATTCATAGGAGTACCCTAGTAAGAACAAAGTAAATAGAACCCATTGAACGGATCAGCTGGACACTGCACTTCCCCTGTTTCTCATGAGCTCTGCCAAGCCACTGGAGCTAGTCAAGTAGGGAGGATAACCTTCAAACCTCCCTGAGAAATAAAAAAGGCATTGGTTTCCTAGCTGGAAGGTAACAGCTACCTATGAATATGAGAGAAACAACACTAACAGGACAAAGGCTCTAGGTACAAAATACAACTTCTGAACCTAGTCACTTCGGAAGGAGTCTTCCATTAGCTTGAAAATTCAGGCCACAAGAGGAGATCACCAGCGGGCATTCCCAAGAAGACCCAACTCTGCTACTTATCAACCTCATATCCCACAGGATAGACTAATACCCCTATAGTGCTTTCCAAACAGATAAGAGTGTAGGAGCCAATCAGGACAACAGGCTGGAAAAAACAAGTCAAAGAGAAAGGATTATGATGCCAGTCACAGTACGTGAGGTGGGAGGCATGTAGGGGACAGTGAAATGTCCAGTGGTTACCATGATCTGGAGCACAAGGCAGAGGCCGGGAAAAGCTACTGATATGGGAGTCATGTAGACCTAGCAGGTATCAGGGAAAACAGACTCACTCACAGCAAATGACTAGTTGGAAAGACTAAGGATAGAATCCTGGGAATATCAACAAGGCAACAAGGTAGAGAAAGGAAGGCAGGAGAATGTAAGTCACAGAATCTATGAGGTATAACATTATTCTTGAGCCTTTAACTGAATTTCTTTTCCTAGTAAGTCAATATTTTCAGCTAAACATAAATCAGTGGTAGCCTATATAAAACGCTTACAATCTTTTTAAACTATTTCAAAGAACCCACAACACACATTTGATCAAATTTTGAAATTATACAATGACTATTAGCTACATACATGCTTATGATGAAAGAGGAAATTGGTACAAAAGTATTTCCTTACCACCATTCTCATAGCTGCTCTGCGACTTGTCTTTGTAGGAAATTAAAGCTTAAAGTGCTCTGAAAATGTTAGACTATACATTTCAGGATTCTTCAGATGACCCAAACAATGGACCACTAATGTACCCATTAAATAATTTCTAAATAATACAGACTTTGTATTAAAAAAAAAAAAAAAAAAAAAAACCCTAAGGCTTCCATTACATCTATAAGCAATATAAAATTGACATGAAAATAGTAAATGCTTCTCATTGTCCAAAGTTCAACAAAATTATAGTCTAATAAAATTCAAAAATTTAAAAAGCCCTAGATGTTTTAGTCTTTCTCTACAATACTTCTATGGAAAATCGCAGAATGTTGGGGACCAAAATGGTGGGATTGCAGAATTTAATATTGCTCTTTCCCTTGGCAAATGTAAGTAGAGTCTGTTATATCAGGGCAAAAAATATACGCAAAAAAAAAGTCGAAAAAAAAAAAAAAAGGACTTTTCTTTTTTTTTTGTATTTTAGGGAAGGGTCTACAGGGTGTTCAGGGTCTCACTACTAGATTGAACTCATAGTGATCCGCCTGTTTACAGCCTTCCAAGAGCTGGGCTTATAGGCACTTTAATCTGCTGAGCTATGACATTTGTAATAGGGAAATGACTCAAAGTTTACCCACCATTTGGAACTACAATAATAACCAATCTTCACATTAAAGATATCTTCCCTTTCCTTGTAAAATCTGTTGTCTGTAGAGAAAGTAGGCCCTTACCCACCTTACTCCACTTCAAGACAGCTGCAAAGTTACAAGTAAAAAGGTGACAGTCAAATGTGGACTAAGTAGTGTCCAACCAATCTGGGTCCATCCTGGTGTTCAGGACAATTACTGACCATTCTCATAAATGTCAACTTTCAGGGCAATGGTCATCAAATCCTTTAGGTGATGAATACTGACATCCAACTCTTGTATTATTATATCACATTTTTAGATGACGTCTTTAGAGTGGTAAACATGGTAGTAAATATTCCCTGAGATCTGCTTAGGGATAATTAAATGAAGACACTTACTTTGCATCAGTAGCCTGAGAATGTCACTATACTGGTCAGGGAACTGGTAGAGAAGAAGGTAAGTCCAGTGCTTACAAAAAAGATTAAATGGCATCAAAATATCTTCATCTGGTTCCAGGCCCCAGGCAGTAAGTGCCAAATGAATGGACTCCAAAAGCCTGGTACGATCAGACAGAGGAGGCTTAGTGGCGTTTAACCATTGCTTAAGATCAAACTAAAAAGAAAAAGAAAACAAGATGCCACTTTATTTACACTAGAAAATTAAGTGAAGTAGAGAGGTCTGAGCACATTTAGTTCAAAAGGCAAAGATTACTTCATATTTACCAATTTATAAAAATGGAAACTAAAATGTTATGGATAAGCATAGGGAAGAATAGAAGAAGTCCACTAACTGGTGCCATTATGCAACCATTTCTACTGTCTGGAGTCCCAAGGGCTTTGTATTTGTATTATAAAAATCTTACTTACTATTCTTCCTTGGTTCATAATTTTATTCTGTTACTCAAAGATACCACACTTTTCTACCCAATAGTAAGGTTCCTCTCCAAGCCCCAGATCAGAACTCACAGATCACCTTCATTGGTCACAAGCCCATAATCAAGCAGCCACTTTATGGAACTGTCTTAATTTAACAGCTATGTTTCTGAGCTGCAGCATTTTCCAGCCTCAGTTAACAAAAATTTAGACTGTTGTTACAGAATCCCAAACTATAAAACACATTCTCCTCTACTATTACAAATTAAGATCCATCTCTAGGCTCTAAAAGACACCAAGATTTTATCACTTCATAAGTGTCAGAGAAACACAAATGAAGGTAAAATACGTTAAGACTCTGAAATTTTCAACTGGTTAAGTGAGTCATTACCTTAGTCTCACAGAGTATTCTACTCAAAATTAGGACAAAGACAAATTGTTTATATCTAGCTTATTCTAAATATGAGAGATCTGCCATATTACATTTCATTTATAAGACATAATTTAGGCACAAATTCAGATAAATTTAGAAGAAGGATGCAATGAACTATTATGACTATTCTCAAATCTGCACTAATTTTTAAAAGAGGACCTGGGGAAAAGGTCCTTTTTATGCTGTGATGACTATGATTATCCTACACAATACAACCAGAGTTTCGGGCCCAAGAGGAAGCCTGCGCTAGTCAGGGTGCACGAAGATCATGCAAAAGTGAAAAAGGCCTTTTGGCCTACGGTCATCTGGAACCCAACCTCTGGGGCCCTTGTATTTTTATGGAGTAGGAAGCAACAGTCACTTTTGTGTTCTCTCTTTCACAGCATCAGGATTTAATCACCTCTTACCTTGGTTAGGAGCATGAAAATCATGTCACTATTTTCCTCACTTAAAAACTTCACCACCTTTTCATACAACTGTATGAACTCCGCAGGTGCAGCATTAGGAGTAAAGAAAGGAGACAGAAGAGAACAGAGCCTTCTATTCTTCATAATGGTCTGAAGTACCCTTTTGCATTCTGATTCAGTGCCACTGATAAATACCTTGGAAAAAATGAAGAAAAATATCAACAAATTTTCCCTTTCACAACGTTTACATAAGCAAATAAGTTTTAAGGGGGTACTAAATGGGTGAAAAGAGTTTATTCTAAACAGAAATATGAAACAAAAAAATATATAGAATTAACATAGCTAAGCCTATACCACTTCCAGTGTAGATAACATTTAAAACTCTGTTTACTCTATCTGGACCATACAGATAATTAGGAGTACTACACAAATTTAAAGAGATTAAAATGTCAGAGTAATTTTAAGCCAGAAATTTTCAATATGCCTACCACAGTTACTAAGCATCTGACATGGTCCTACATGTCAAGAAAATACAATACTAGGTTACAGATTTTATTGAGATGTGGCTTTAGTATCTTTAAAAAGCTAACTTTCACACTATGTATTCAGAATAACTTAATCTTGTTTTAACTTCATTCTAAGAGGTATTTATACAATTGCAGAGTCAAAATGGCTTTTTTTTGTGTGTGTGTGTGGTACCAAGGATTGAACTTAGAACCCTGCACTTGCCAGGCAAGCACTTATTCTACTGCGCTATCTCCCCAGCCCCCAAAAATGGCTTTGATAAGGCTGACCATAAACAAATAAAAGGATAAAACTAATAGGTTTGAGTATATTAAAATTTAAACTTCTATAAGGAAAAAGCAATCAGAAAATGAAAGTAACTAAAAAAAAATGTATGTACACATTCCAGATTAGCAAATCAAGTCTGATAAGCACTTTCACAGAAATCAAAAAGCAAAACAAATTCTATAAAAATGTTTAAAAGTAAGGGCTGATAAGACAGCTCAGCAGACTAAACTCCTGCTTCAGCAAACACAGGGGCAGGGGCCAATTCCTTCCCAGGTACGACATACCCCACCACCACCACCCCCAGGCACACCGAGGGAATAGGGCATGGTGGTGCATGCCTGTAATCCCAGCACTGAGGAGACTAAAAACAGGAGTCCAAGCAGCACAGTAAGACCCTGTATCAAATAAAAATTTTTTTCTGTATTTTAGGGAAGGGTCTACAGTGGGTTCAAGGTCTCACTACTTGATCGGACTCATAGTGATCCACCTGTTTACAGCCTCCCAAGTGCCATTACAGGCACGCGCCATCACGCCCAGTCTCAATTGCTCTCTCAGCGCATCCCGGAGACAGGGCTGGCACAGCAGGACTGAGGATTGAACCCCCAGCCCCTATGCCTGCTTGCCAGTATTTTAATCTGCTGAGCTATTTGGCCAGCCCTTGTATCAAATAATTTTTTAAAAAGTTCAAAAATAATCAACAAAGAGAGACAGGGAGAAGAAATAAGGGAGAGGGGAGGGACGGAAGGGTCCAATGATACACAGGAATATTTGTCTTGGCCTTACCATAGGAAAACAATCTATCTAAATATCTTCCGCAAAGATTAATAGAACACAATGTATATGTGTCATAGAACATTTTACATACATTGAAACTGGACATGAGATAGGTATGTTTATTAGCATGTAAAACAGTATCTAAAAGATACATCTAAATAGAAAGATTACAAAACGACATGTTCACTTCTAAGTGTTTTATACATCCAAAAATAAGGATAATAGACCACGTTTACACATAAATATGAATACCATACATAGGAAAAACTGTAATAAAACATTAGTAATACAATTAGTATCTCCAGGTGGTTAGGACCCTAAGTTTTTCTTCTTTATACCTTTTATATTATGTGTGGCTCTAATAAGCACATACTAAATTTACGATCAGAAAAAACTTCTTAGAAAAAAAATGATTGTAATACCTGTTCAGCATTACTTGTTTTTACATATCCAAAACGTAAGAGTACATGATTAGTGTCCACACTGTTTTAATTAAACAAATGGTTCTCCTTTTATGACACATTACATAAATCTGCACAAATACTTTGCCTGTGCCCAGGTTAAATGTCTCTACATTCAACTGTTAGCCAAACAGATAAATGAATGGTAACCAAGAACAGTAACTGGAGACACTGTGGAGAAGTGGAGTGAGCCCTGAGTATTAGCAAATGCCACAGAATCCTGTCTCAGTGCCAGCACTCCCTGATGCACTCTGCAGGAGCCATTCTTTTTTTATTTTTATTTTATTGAGATAGGGTCTCACTATCCACCCCAAGTGGCACCAAATTTGCTACCTAGCCCAGGCTGCATCAAACTTGCAATCCTTCGGCCTCACCCTCCCTAGTGCTGGGATTATAAGCATATACCACCACACCCAGCCTCTCTCGCTCCATCTTTTAGAGACCAGTTTTCTCATCTTTAAGATATAAATGATACCAACTGGTCACTGGGAGGATGAAATGTAACATACTTAGAAGTATTTTAAAACAATAAAGAGTTTCATGTTACTATTAATGCCAAGAATATATGACAGAATCTCAGTATTTCTCAAGACTTCTTAATACAGATAATATGTCTCTTGAATGAGAGGCAGTATTCTGTACCAAAAAAACTTACATCTTAATAAGCCAACAATTCCAACAGGTTCTAACTTAGGTAAGACACAAGAATTCTGAAATCAATGATGACTGTACCTCATGCAGACATTGCAGACACTAATAGTATTTGAACACTACTAACACAGAGTAACCTTACCTGTCCCAAGATCTCAATGCATGAAGTAAAGAACTGTCTTGTGGGAGGATGGCGCTGTGATTCATCACTGACATACTCTACAACAGTAAAGAAAAGGCTAATGCCAACTTTCTGAATCCCATGTGATGGCTGTAACTTGTAGGCATTCACTAAGGCCCTGTGGGAAAACACAGGTTCAAGTACTCATCTACAGTGAAAGAACAAGTATTCACAGGTATTTCTTTGATGCCCTATATTTCTCAGACAGTATCTATTAAGAGTCCTCAGAGCCCTATGCAAATGTCACCTTAGAAATATTTCACAGGTTAAATGTGTTCTCCGAACTTTATCCAACAACTCACTTTCAACAAACAGTAATGACTGGATGGTCCAGGAGAAACAAAAATCAGCTGTAGGAATAATTAACACTTTGTAAGAAAAGTTAAAATCTTTTACATTTTGTGTGTAATTCGTAGTTAATTTTTTATATTTGTTATATAACACATTTTTATTTTATTTATTTATTTATTTATTTTTTTCCAGAACCGGGGATTGAACTCAGGCCCTTGTGCTTGCCTGGGAAGCACTTATTCTACTAAGCCATCTCCCCAGCCCCTATAACACATTTTTAAACACAAAAATGTTGATTATCATTAAAATTTAAAGGGCTAGGGAGATAGCTCAGTGGAGTAAGTGCTTGCCTGGCAAGTGCATGGTCTTGAGTTCGATCCTTGGTACCATCAAAAATAAATAAATAAATAAATTTTAAAACCTAAAACACTGAGGTTGGAGAGAAATTTTTGTGTAATCGTAAGGCCTACAATAAAGATGTCCCTTTTAATTCTCACCTTTTTTTGGTGCCTTTCTCATTATCAGAAATATGAACCTTTGGTTCTCAGGATCTGCTCTTCTACCCCAAGCCCCCACCTCAACCCACAAAAGAACTCAACACACTCCATATATCATCCCAGCCTGCAAACTTTCTCCTGCAAAGGGTTAAAACATAAACATTTTAAGCTTTGTGAGCCATAAAATCTCTGTCACAAATAGTCAACCCTGTCATAGCACCTTAAAAGCTACATACATTATAAATAATAGAGATGGCTATGCTCCAAAATAATTCTATTTATAAAAATAGGCAGCAGGCAAAATGTGGCCCAAAAGTCAGTTCGCTGATTTTTGCACTAATTTAATTACTGAGTGTCTGAGACACAGGGCAGGTGTAGTAATACATGCAATCACTATTAATGACAACAAAATAGTATTTTAAATTATAATATTGTCAAAACTTACGTGATCAAGTTTTCTGCATGCACAGCTGCTTCCACAATATTAAGTGAAGGTGGCTTGGCAGCTTCTGCTTGCAACTGCTTTACTTCTTTCCGTAAACTATGAAGCTGTTGACTTACTGCTTCATTCTTATACATGCCTTCAAACTAACAAAAATTGAGGAGGTCAACAGGTTTCTTTCCCTCTGCATGCTTCTATTACAAGTATTTTATTATAAACAGGACAACACAGAAAAGGAAGAGATTACTACACTTAATAATATAACAATTCAAAATTCTGTTGAACAAACATGAGAGTGAAGAAGAAAATTTGTTAATCTTTTTTTTTTTTTTTTTTTTTTTTTTGTGGAACCAAGGATTGAACTCAGGCCCTTGCACTTGCCGGGGAAGCGCTTATTCCACTGAGCCATCTCCCCAGCCCCAGAAGAAGAAAATTTGTAAAAAAAAAAAAAAACACAAAACACTGAAGGATATTGGATCTTCCAATACAAAGTTTGAAGACAGACTGTTCTGAGAAATGAAGGCAGTTAAGGGATGACACGAGGGGAAAAGAGATGAAAATAAGGAATAGGGATATATTATGTACATATACCAACTCCACACACAGAATGTAAATGTTATACACTACAAATATATCATACCCCCCCCAAAAAGGAACGGGATCACGGGATGGAGGAGAAGAGAGGGAAGGGAATGGAGATGAAGAAAGGATTTAAGACGTATTATGTACAACTTCCCACAAGAAATGTGAACATTATATACTACACACATGTAGTAATAAACAAAAAAATTTTAAAGAATCTCAGGTTTTTCATGAAGAATCTTCCTTCAGTTAAACACAATTACTTTCTTAAAAAGATATAATTTATATTGCTAAAAACTGATATGAACTTCAGTTATTAATGGTCTAAATCTTTTATAGAATTCTACTTCACTCCTGTTTTGACTCAAATCCTCAAAAACAGACCCAATGTCTTCCACTACGAGGCTTTTCCTGAAGCCCACCAGTCCCCTCCTCTACTGATGATCCCCACTCTCTAGCCCAGCCCTGCCCTGTGTTCTCTCCAATCACCACCCAATTCTGCTTCAGATACTCAAAGACAACCCAGAAATGGTTAACAGAACTGCCAATGTGAAAGATACATAATTAGAAAAGAACAAAATAAAATAAAATATGGGAACGTACCCAAATCAATTGCACACTAAAGAAACAGCAACTGGCCAATTCAATGATTTCTGAAAGTTAGTCTTTGTGAAAATTTCATTGTTTCTCATAAAGACACAAAAAATGAAATTTATTTAGCTTTTTAAAAGCTAAATTTATTTCAATTAAAAAAAAAAACACGTTATGGCTGGCCAAATAACTCAGCAGATTAAAGAGCCTGCTTAGGCAGACCCAGGGGCCCAGAGTTCGATCTCCAGGCCTGCCATGCTGGCCCCGCTCCTGGGGCGTGCTGAGAGGGTGATTTGAGACTGGACAGGTGGCGCATGCCTGTAATCCCAGTGCTTGGGAGGCTACAAACAGGAGGATCACTTCGAGTCTGATATATGCAGTGAGATCCTGTACACCCTGTTAAAATTCAATTTAAAGGACTATACTTTCAGAGGCTGTGTCTTAACTTCTTGAGAATGTTAACATGCCCTCTCTCTAAGGGATGATGGCTCATATGCTAACTTTTGTTTGGGCATTTTACTGTCCCTTTATGGATGCAGACAAATGCAAAGGACATCATCGGCCCATCATGTTGCAACACCAAGACAGAACTATGGTGGGGGTCCTCTCCTACCTGGTCTTGTTGCCTAGACTACTGAAAGTTGTAGGCCCTTAGGAAATGCAGAATTTAGTACCCTACCCCCAATTTCAAAAGTACAGCTATTATCCAGGATGGTCAGTTTAAAGATAACAGCCTACCTGACTACAAAGGAAAATGTGTTCTTTTACCTTCTTGACATAAACCTTTGTGACTCCATATGGACCACTGCTTTCAATAATAGACAAAAAAATTTAAGAAACTTAAATGCCACTCTTACAGATTCTCACTCTGTCATCTGACACAGATCAACACACCCAAGAAACAAAAAAAGACTGATGAAAGCATCTCATATTCAGAACCTCTTTTTCACTGATAAAACTATTCCTCAGCAGATTACTGTAAATGACTTTCGTGTCGGCTGTTGTGTGCATGACACTGAGATTAGTTCGGTCCTTCCAGCACACTGACAAACATAGTCCCTGCTGGTGTGCCATCAGGCCTGAGGTCCAAAGAGCAAAGACTACTGAGTCCTGGGCCATCTGAATGCCATGTTGCTGAGGGAAGCCATGAGAACAAAGTCTTTCTTTTATTTTCTATTGGACTTTAATCTGAGTAACAGTAGGAAAAAAGAAAAAGAAAAGAGCCACCACCATAGTGTGACAACGGTAGGGGCCAGAGGAAGACAGGAGAAGGCTGCAGGGTGATGCCAGGGGTTGGGACTAGAGTGCAGTAAAGTCAGACCAGGGAACACAGGGAGCTGCCCTGGGACCCCTTATGCAGCAGGCTACCCGGGAGCTGGAACTTCCTGCAGGCAGTGGAGAATACTGAAAAGATGATAAATTGACCATCTTTGCCACACAAAGACGGCCATCTTATTCAAAACCGTGGGACATCAAATTCATGAACTGAGGTACCACTGTACTTAATTCATCAACTGAGTAAAAGTGAGGCCCTTATGCCCCTGTCAGTTACTATCATAAAATCTACACCAAAACTTCCTGAAGAGCAATGGTCCTGTTTTGCTTACACATAGCCCCAGCAAAGCACAACTCTGAAAGTAAACAGAAGACACCTGTTTTTTATAATCATGATGAGAACTTCCTCCTGTAAAAGTACCAGCATTGTATTACAAGTCTTCACCCTCCCACCACTGTTGAAGGTTTGTTTTTTTTTTTTTTTTTTTACTAACCTGGGGTGGAGACTGAATGACTCCCAGTTCACAATGACAAGAAACTGGAGACAAAAGAACAAAGTAGCATGGTGGAAGCCCCTTCATGTAAGTCATTTTCTTAAGTAGACACAACTAAACTTTGGATACAGTATGTCTATCAAGTTTTTACAATGAAAGGCCCTTAATGGGTCTTTTCCACCTTTCATTTCTAGGAATGGACAAAATTTTCACATGACAATAAATCAACCCTGGGTGCAGCAAGCATGCTCCACAATAACAAAACAGCAAAAGAAACCCAATGATAAATCACTCCATTTCCTTAGGGAATACCCCTGAACTATTATTAAATGCTTCTCTTAGGAGGGGAGATCAAAAAGAAGCACGTCTCACTTCTCATAAAATATATTCAGCTTTTGTATACCACAACAAGCTATATATAGTTCAAAGACTTGAAAACAGGTGGAAATTTCCAGAACTTTCCTTTTTAGAAAAAAATTGTTAAATACAACAACGTAACATAAAATCTTTATAAATGAGTCATTAAAATTAGATCTGATATCTAAACTCATATCCTAGGGCCGGACAGATAGCTCAGTTGATTAAAGTGCCTGCTTAGGCAGATGCAGGGGTTGGAGGTCTGATCAGTGGCCTGCTGTGCCGGCCCCGCCCCTGGGGCACGCGAGAGGGCGACTGAAACTGGGTGTGGTAGCACATCCCTGTAATCTCAGCACTTGGGAAGCTGAAAACAGGAAAATATATACATATAGATGAACAAAAGCAATTTCAACTACACCTAAATAGAATGTTATGATGCCTTTTTCAGACAAGAAAGAGAGCACTGATAAGCCTGGGATTAAGTTCCTTGGTCTGCTCATGGTATTTTCCACTGTAAGACCCCGAAAGTTAATAGGTCGAGCCCAAAACCCAGCCTTTGCCTGGGAAGCAAATATTTACAACTTCTCACAGAGCAAGTTATGGGCCAAAATTAGTTTTACCTCACTAGTCACTTGTAAAACGTATTTTCGGAGAATTCCCTTCTCTGTAGGGAATTAACAAGCTGGCAGAGATACGTAGTTTTAAAACATGGAAAAATACTGTATTTGTAACAGCACAGATTGGTAACAACACATCCTCCTAACATAATGAGATACATCTTCAGTATTTCCCTCAAAATCAAAGTCCTCCTCCCTAAGTTTACAAACTTTAATTCCAGCCTTATGTTAGCAAGTGATCTTCCTTTTTTTTTTGGATAGGATGTCACTGTGTACTTTATGTTGGCTTCAAACTCACTATGTAGCCTAGGCTGGCCTCATATTTGTAGCAATCTTCCTGCCTCAGCCTCCCATAAGTTGGGATTGTTGGTATGCACCACCACGCCAAGCTGTGATCTTAAATATATCTACCCTTGTTCTTACTACAGAATTGGTAACTGGGGAAAAAAATAAGTTCCTGATCAAAGGTAATTCTATGTTTAGGGTTTCACATGATTACAATAAAATATAGGAAAATAAGTCAGACTCATCTTGACTTCCAGTTCAAATTTCTTAAATCTAGATGTATACAACTATGATAAGAAAGTCAGAAAAAAATTTCAAAGGTAGGGAAAATGCAATAAACATAAAAGGTTATTAAGAAAAGCTAATTTAGAAAAAAAAAAAAAAAAAGTCTCCCAAAGAACATGATAAGTACGTACTAGGACAGCATGTTTAAAATGGATTTGTGAAAAGAAAAAAAAGTTTCTGGAAGACAATGAAGGTTGAACAGAATAAACTGTCTCAATTTCCAAAGTTAGCAAAAAGTTATTTTCCTGCAAATATAGTCAGGCAGCGAGTGGTGTCCCTCTCCAAATGTTTCTTTCCTTTCTCAAAGAAACTGAATTCACTCACAGAAGGGTAAAGTGTGGGCAAAGAACGAGCAGCGCTCTGGACCCAGAATACCTGGCCTCATGGCTCTGCCACCTGCTGCCACTAAGCCTCCACTTCCTCATCTAAAATATCCACAGCACAGGGTCAATATGAGGCTAAAATAAGTGATGCCAAGTGTCTATATAAGCAAGGCTTAGTGTGAAGCAGTATTGTGACACAATAACTTACACTCGGCTCCATTCTGAAGTCCTTATGATACCACACACCAACATTTGCCTATATGTTCAGGGCAAGAAGGTGACTTAAGTAGTTGGATTTTTAGCTACAGTTACCTGTCTCATCTGCTGACTGGCAAACTACTCAACTGATGTGCTTCCCACAAGGAGCTTCCAAAGGTCTGCAGCAGCAGCCTGAGCTCCAAATGGTTGTTCACACCAATCTTTCCAGTGTAAACCCTCACCACCACCCTGGAAAAAGCATAAAACAGACTGATACAGCTCCTGATCTCTAGTTAACATCTCAGTGATTCCATCCCCCATTGCTTCCACTAAATCCAAATTAGGATCATTACAGTCTTCTGAGGATCAGTGTAAGTACCACTCTCTAAGAACCTTCTAAATGATTCTGCTTTTCTTTGAATTCCTATTTGAATATTGCTATTGTAGGACTCATCTGGAACTTATGGAAATCTGTGATTAGGTCTGGGTGTGGTTTTACATTTTCTAAGAACTATAAAATGTTCTGAGATACAGATGAACTCTTTCTCAATGATGTGTCAATAGTAGGAACTGAATTAAAATTCTCTACATTATAAAGAATTTAAACAATCTTACCTGAACTGTTACAACTGCTGCTCCTTGGCATTTCTTACCCCCACTGCCTCTACACTCCAAATGCAGTGTGGTCTGTTCTTCTCGGTTAACATACTTCTTAGGCATTGTATCCAACAGCTCACTATGCAGGGCAACCAGCTGACATTCCCGAAGAGCTGCCATTCTAGAAAATATCCCAGAAGGGAGATTAAAGGTTTAAGAAAGATTATATGAGAAGTACTAGGCTTCCAGTTATCCCCAGAGCATTTCAGCATAGTATCCTATACTAACAGAAGACCAAAGTACATAGATGTGCCAAGATTTAGTTAAACTCTGTCTCCTGACAGACGGGATAACCCAGAAGTTAAGAAATAAAGAAAAAACTTTAGGAAAATGTAGCATAACTTTTTATCCAGAACAAAGTTTCACTTAGAACCAAATTATATAACAAGGGAGAATTCTGGTCTCATTTAATCATCAAAGGTTGCCTTACATGCCAGTTACTTTTTAGCTATTAGCACTTCAAACCAAAACTGCCAAAGACCAAGACAGCTAAATGTGAGGGACACAGTGCATGTACAAGGTCCTGGATTCAATCCTTAGCACTACCAAAGGGAAGAAAAAAAGTTACATGTGTGTATGAGATATCAATATTGTTTTAACTATATTTTTATTATTATGCTAATAAGCAGATGCTCTTCTGTGCAGACAACATATACCTGATAAATGTCTCCACGAAACATAGTCAAAGAGAAAAACTGTCCATAAAACATGATTTACCAAAAAAAAAAAAAAAAAGACATGACTTACAGGCTGAGGATGTGGCTATTGCATGCACATGGCCCTGGTCCAACCCTCAGCACCACATTAAAAAAAAAAAGGCATGATTTACCTGGGATTTGTAAAGTTCAATGGCCAAACACTCTTCCTGGCACATGTGAGGCCCAGGGTTTGAGCCCCAGTTAAGACAGACAGACATACAAATACAGAGATGCATAATGGCTCACTCACTGTTAATGAAATACATATCTCTACATACACTCCTTCACACAAGACTGGAAGCTAGAATCAAATCCTTGAATAGCTGATTATTCTGTGTACATCATATAAACTAAAAACACTAAATATCTTTCCCATATTTTTATCAAGTACCTATGTGAACTCATCAAAGATTATAATTAACAGAGCAAAGCAGCCAGGTATGGTTATTCACACCTGTAATCCCAGCACACTGGGAGACTGAGGCAGAACTTTTCATCACAGCCTGGACAACTTAGCGAGACTCTGTCTCAAAATAAAAGTAAAAAGGGCTGGGAGCTGTAGATCAGTGCAAAGGTCCTGGGTTCAAACCATTACCGAAAAGATAAAAAGGGAGTTGGAAAAGAGAACACAAATTAATGATAAAAGATAATAAATCTTATTTCATCCCTACCCAATACCATCTGTTGAGTATCAGAAAGTCTCAGGAAGAATAATCAAGTCTCAGGCAGCATTGTTGACACCCAGAATGCCGCCATAAGCAACATGTAAGATTGGCGGCCCATGACAGTGCCATTAATATCCTTATGAGATTAAAGACTTGTCACAAGTTCGTGCAGCAAGTGAATCACCTATGGAAGTCTAGCCAAATTAACTTTAGTTAAGAATGCTGATGAGGACGCCAATCAGGTACTAAATCATCCTGGCTACCATAAAGCAAGCATGAGCCACGATCTCTGAGGTCTCAAGCTCTCACCTGGCCTGCTGCTGCAAAACATTCAGGTCTGAGCACACCAGCTGGGTGGTGTCCCTTTGACTCAGGAGCACCTCTGAAGAGATCACAGGCACAGGAGGCTTCATGCAGTTGAGAACAAGGGGAGGACGGGGAACTTCATGCTTCCGCAAGTTACTTAAAACCCTTTCTTTAGCTGAAACAAAATTAAGTTGTATTTAGTAATAAGTACTAACAGATAATAATGAATACAAAGTCTTAGTGCATTAATAGCACAAAGAATGCTGGAGATTCCCAGAATAGTTCCTTAAACCACAGAAGCCTAAATGAACAAAATTCACTGCTTTGTTTTCTTTTTGCTGGCACCGGGGATTGAGCCAGGACCCCGCGCTTGCCAGGCAAGTGCTTATTCTACTGAGCTATCTTCCCAAGCCCAAAATTTACTAATTTTAATTCTCATGAGTTTTAAGGGAATACTTACACAAAGACTTTATAATATTCTACTAAGGGCCAGGGAGGTATCTCAGTGGCATAAGTACCTGCTTGGCAATTGTAAGTTCTTGAGTTAGATCCCTGGTACTAAAATATATATATTCTACTAAGAGCTCAGGAGTCTATGGCACAATTCAATAGAACTATTCTCAAAAAGTTCAGTCTAGAAATACAGGAAATAAATTCATGCTGTTAAGTTGAGCTGTGGGGGACTCAGGTCAATAATTTCTGACATTGCCAGTTAAACAGAAGACCCAATGCTATTATGGACTACTGGACTCTTATAGAATATTTTGCTGAGTTTACACACCTATAATAAGCAATAACGGAACTTAGAAAAAATGGGGTATACCTATGAATGTCCATTTTGTATCTGTGTATTCTTTTTTTTTTAATTTTATTTATTTGTTTATTTGTGTGCGTGTGTGTGTGTGTGTGTGTGTGGCCAGCTCAGCCCACCAGGGGGCAGGGCTGGCTGGCATGTGGTGCTGGGGGATTGAACCGTGATCCCTGTGCTTTGTTAAACTTGTTCTAAGTAGGTGCTTTAGACCACTGAGCCATATCACCAGCCCCTGTATCTGTGTATTCAAAGTGGTTGGGACAGATATATAGTTGCATTCTCTTAATGAATAGAATGATTTGTTCTAATGGTGTTTGTAAATAGGATCACAAGTCCGCATCTTGTATAGCAATTAACCACTAAGAAGAATATATGCAGTGTATTATTTGTTGAAACTGTACTTCCGATTTGATTTGAAACTGTCTCATTGCTGTTTATCAATAAAACTTTGAAAAAAAAAAAAAAAGCTCAGTCTAATAGTTGCTAAGCAGCAAAACCATGCAACTCTTAGGGACTGGGGAGATGGCTCAGTGGAATAAGCACTTCCCTGGCAATCCCAGTTCTGTAAAAAAAAAAAAAAAAAAAATTACATGTAACTCAGCTAGATCACAGGGTATTAGAATAACTCACCAAAAATTTTTTAGTCTTTTATTTATTTATTCTATCTATTTGATACAGGATCTCACTATGCAGCTCAGACTCATAATGATCATCCTGTCTCAGCCTCCCCAGCACTGGGATTACAGACATGTACCACCACGCCAGGTTTCAGTGGTCAGCTTGTCACGGGGCCAGCATGGCATGCAGTACTGCAGATCAAAACAGGTCGTTGTGCTTGCCAAGCAGGAGTTCAGACTACTGAACTATATAGCCCCAGCTCCCATCAAATTCAAATGTTCCCTATTTCTGTATCTTATACAGAACCACATAGACACTAGGCGTCTAATTCCAAATCCTCCCTCTCTCCTTATACACTACACACCAAGAGCATGTGGAAAGTAAAGAACATGAAGAAAAATGCTGCTGCATGCCTAGTTCTTTTCAAAAGTAAGAGAGGAAGGGAGAGGTCAAGTCAATAATTCAAGTGAACAAGCACTTAAGGGACTAGTATGAATTTCTGGTTTCATTCCAGATGTCACATTCAATTTTCTATTTTTGTTGAGAAAAATCAAAGAAAATTTAATAGCCATGTCTTTGCTTGGCATAAGTAGACTTGTACTGTTTGTACCCCAAACAGATGGAAGTAAACATTCCAAAAAGGTCAAGTTCACACTATGCTATATAACTGGTGTTTTTCCAGTAGAATCACCATTCTGCATAGATGTGGCACAGCTGGACATCCATCTCTGGCTATTTTGTGACTATATTAAAATCTCTTCCAAGGGGGGGGGCAGCCTGCCCCTTAACTCAGTTCTTTAAGTGTCTGCTTCAACAAAGCAGTCAGGCTCAGGTTGCTGTGGTTCAATCCCC